AAACATTGTCATGGCCATTGACATAAAAGGCGCTTTTGACAACGTAAGCCATAAGGCCATATTAGATGGGCTAGCAGCGACAAACTGCGGTCAAAGGACGTACAAATATGTACAGAACTTCCTTACTAAAAGAACCGCTGTTATCAGATTAGGAGAACACGAATCCAATGTCTTCCACTCACCGAGCAAAGGCACACCACAAGGCGCTGTGATCTCGCCTACGCTTTTCAACATAGCCATGATTGGTCTAGCCAAAAAACTGGAAGGTATTCCCGACATCCGACACTCCTTCTATGCGGATGACATCACTGTATGGACAACCAAGGGTAGCTTGGCGGAAAAAGAAGAGCGGCTTCAACTGGCAGCTAAAACTATCGAAGATTACACTAAAGAAAGGGGGCTTCAGTGCTCAGCAGACAAATCGGAACTCATTCGGTTCTCCAAGAGTAAAAACAAAGGACAGACCCGAGCCTCCGCCTTGAGGTCAAGCTAGACGGCAATATTATACCAGAGAAAACAACTGTTCGGATCTTAGGGATGTGGTTACAGTCCAATCAAAGATGTCTCCACACACTGAATATGCTTAAACGAACAGTTCAACAAATTGTTCGTATGATAGTTCGAATAACGAACAATCGTGCTGGACTGAAAGAACAAGACGTGCTTCGTTTGGTAAAGAGCTTAGTCATCAGCAGATTAACATACTCGCTATCCTACCACAACATGAATAGAGAGGAGAAAGAAAAAGCAGACAAAATAATAAGGATGGCGTATAAAGCAGCTCTGCGACTACCACAAAGCACTTCAACTGCGAAGCTATTAGCGCTCGGACTTCACAATACATTTGATGAGTTGGCTGAGGCACAAGTAACCACCCAGATTAACCGCCTGCTACAGACGACAACCGGCAGAAAACTTCTTCAGAGGATCGGCCTCGGCGAACAAGTACAGGCACGTGGAAGAGCTAAGGAATTGTCGTGCTCAGTCAGAGCCTGGTACAAAATATGCCCCCTACCGAAGAACATGGACCCAGTTTTACATGCTGGAAGGCGTAAAGCAAGAGCCGTTTACATAGATAAACAGACAAAATATCTGAATACGGCGAGATTTACTGACGCTGCACCATATCAGGTAAATGCAAAGAACATGGTGGCCGTGGTCACAGACCGAAAAGGAAACGTCACAAGTTGTGCCTCCATAGCCCAAGCCTCTATCACAGAAGCGGAAGAGATAGCGATTGCGCTGGCAATCAAGGAGGGCAGGGAGCGAAAAACCCCAATGACAATAATCACAGACTCGAAGGCTGCATGTAGAAATTACGAAAAAGGTAGAATATGTATGAAGGCCTTCCAAATTCTAACCAAAGCTCACAAGGACTTCCCAATTGAATACACCCAAACCATTATCTGGGCGCCGGGGCACGAGGGCGTCACCGGGAACCAGTTTGCGGATGAGGCGGCTCGAGGCTTCACAGATTACCGAGCTTCCTTGCACACTGCAATAGAGGATCCAACGCCCCTAGACCCTAACTTTGGTGCAATTCTTCAGTATTACAGGGACAATAGAAAAGTGTATCCAGCACCGCATAAGAAACTTACAGCAATGGAATCGGTGGCATTACGCAGAATCCAAACAAACACATACACGAACTTACACAGGCTGCATGTATTCTACCCCACAGCATACAAAGATATATGTCCGTGGTGTGGGGCCACACCAACTCTGTTTCACATCACGTGGGAGTGTACGCATCACAATGAAGAACACCACAACATGAACAACACAGAGGGACAATGGGAGGCGCTGCTGTCCAGCTCGGCCATTGTTGATCAGCGCTGGCTGGTCCAACGGGTAGAGACAATGGCTAGGGCCAGCGGAGCCCTGGAATAGGGGCCCGACCATTTGGAATGCTCCGCGTTATGCGCAAATAAAGTTTTCTCTCTCTCTCTGCCACATATGGCGCGTGTCATCGTTCGATATAGTGCGGCGACGTACGCTAGCGGGAGCGTTGCAATAAAATCGAGTGGGCAAAATGTACGGAGGATTCATGGTTTACCAGGTTTACCTCCGGAGCTTCGCCCTCTCATCATCATTCACTTCGTGGATATGGCGGCATTTTTTATATGACACGCATCTCATGATTATTATGTCTGCACCAGTCACATACCTTTTTCATCCATTCACGTCCCGTAATACCAAATTCGGTATAGGTGAAGAGAGCGAAACAGCCGCCAGCGCATCACGAGCGTGGCTTGTAGTCATGTTGTTACATGACAGGCATGTCATGATTTTCATGTTAGGGTCTGTCGCTTGTGTTCGCCATGCAATCATGTCATACCAAAGCAGTTTTGCAACATGGCATGTGAACGAAACCACCGCAAGAGCTGCAGGACCATGAAATGTAAATCTTGACATTCATGACAACGATGGCTTGACTTTTATGTTATGACTAGCCAAATATGTTTTTCATAGAGTCATGTTATGCCATACCAAGTTTGGTATCGATACCATTATTGAAACGGCCAGGAGGGCTAAAAGTCGTAAGTGGCTAGATAGATAGATAGATAGATAGATAGATAGATAGATAGATAGATAGATAGATAGATAGATAGATAGATAGATACGCTCATAGTCGTCAAAGCTCGCTAAGAAATGCTTCGCATTTATTAAGAAAGCAGTATTCCTTCAGAGGCAAATCGGGGAAGTGGCATAACATGATCAGTGTCTTCCTCGGAGCCGCAGACAACACATTCTGCACTGTCGACTACTCCTATTAATATTGCATATGTCTTCGTAGGGGAAACTCTCAAACAAAGCTGACAATCATGTAAGGCATCACGTGGACGAAGTTCGGCTTGAGGTCAGAGCCCCAGCATCAAGTTGATTTGATGGCAAAGCTCCCTAGCAGCGTCGGTCCTATGAAGGGGAATCGGAACGGTAGTTTCTTGTTCATGCGATGTACGAGCCGCGTTGTCTGCCGAAACATTGCCACTAATCCCACAATGACCATGCAGGCAATGAATGTCAAACTCTTGTCTTTTTTTTATTTGACGCGGTGATACAGTCTGAGAATTCCGTATGTAAGCTGTTTGTGGCGTACACGCCAGAAAGCTAACTGCAGACACGGTAACATTGCCTTTCAGTTAGAGAAAACAGCCCATTTGCTCGGTGTCAGAATCGATGTACTCTAGCGCATAAGTTCTGCGTCTGTATATGTAGTCAGAGGGGATAATATGAGCCATAATAATATTTCTCGTGCTGCTATCATCAGCACACCACCAGAACTGAACACAGTGGTCGAAACATTAGCGTAGATGTTCACGTGGTTGTTGTAGGTTTTGTGCAAAAAATAAAAAATAAATATAGGCTGAGTTGCTGTAATGCTGGGGCAGGTAAAGCTGATTTGTTTTGCAATTCTGAAATTGTGAGACGTGTTTATGGGAGGTTCAAGCGCCATGGAGGAATCTCCAGCTCTTCCGCAGGTACATACCCTGTTGTAAATGATGCACGATGGGAATAGGCAGACTTGCTAAATGAAGTATGGTCCTAAAGCAGCGAGGCTTGCCAGGTGGGGACAATGGTTTCTGGCATACCGGTTGGCATAATCATAGTCTCAGCAGTGATCTACGTTGTGATGGAGTAGTATTGAGCAGTGACGAGGGATGGACAGCGTGGTAAATGAAGGCCTGAGCTTGGATGTTTTGGATCGTGTGCAGGTTAGTTTTGCAAGTGTGGTAAATAACCTAATAAATGGTCTTTAATAAACTAAAAGGAACCAAATAAACCTAATTAACATTTCATTACGTACCTTGAATCTGCATGTTGTCTTTCCTGTCATCTCCTTCCTCCAACATTCGCAATCATACCCTGAATGTTTGAACTGTATAGTATTTTCCTTTTCTTTCCCATAGTTCTTACATTTTCACTTCGCAGTAAGTATTGTCACTCGATAAGTTCAGTATTATGACATTGTTGTCAAAGAAGCTCGAAGTGTAACACGAATTCAAGTTATTTCGAATTCTCGGTCGTTATTACAGCAGAAAAAATCCAAACGGCACTGCCATAAGCGATGAACTAGAAAAAAAAAGAAGATTCAACATTTATTAGTGCTTTTTGCGACCACTTTTTGCATGAAAGATGAGTAGTGTGGTATTTTTCTTGGTTCTCGAAGTTGTGGTCACTCTCTCATCAGACGGCTGCGATTGCTCTACAATCGCGAAAGTTTTCCGTAAATTGCAAATCTCCTTTTACATGTGTTCCCTCTTTAAGCGCTGCATGAAGCTGCAATATCGACGAGTAGCAATATTTCCGACACCTGGGTGATTAACAAGGATCTGCTTAGTGATACAGATCTGTAGGGTGATTAAAGCTACATGTTTTTTTTGTTTAGTGCACACAGAAACCGGTTTTTAAGACTGTGCTTTTCGCGCACTGGTCTTATAAGATTTCGGCCACTGCTGCAGTAAATTTCAAGAATAATTCTACGTATTCGGCTGTAGAAAGGCAGAGACATCGATGGGCCGCAGTCAACGAAAGTGGAAAATTTTGCCCTGATAATAGTTAACATGGTTCATCGCCAGTGGTTCACATCTCGCACATGAGGCGTTTGCACTATGCTTTTTTCAGTAAAATATTAGTGTATCAATCGTGGAGCCAACTTTTAGCTACTAAGGACTTTCAAAGAAAACGCCGGAAGAATGTCGCTCAGATGTCCCGACATTGCGTTGCACATATATGCGCAAAAATTAATTTGAAGTGCGGACACAGGCAAACGACTATATGCCGTTTTTCGTGACATTCGGTTTTATTACGGAGAGAATATGCTCATCACTTTGGCGGAATTACAATAGAAAATTCTTATCGCAACATATAGACTGCTGTATTTCTGAAGTAGGTATCACGTGTGTTATGGCACCGCTTGGATGACAAAAGCGAAAAAGAACTCTGCATGCGGCGCATACGCAATGCGAGTTAATGTTGAAGTCGCTAATGATTCTTACCTGTGGAACAACGTCTTCTTTTAGGATCTTTCTTTGCCGCTGTGTGAGGAACTGTTCCCCCGGGAGCTCGAAGTAGGATCTCACTGAACGTGGCCGATCGGTGATGCTAAGGCTGGCGTGCACTCCTGACCACCCCCAAGAACACTTGTAAGCACTTATGCAGATGTTATGGCACCGTCGCCCATTGAGGTTGAGCCCGCGTAGTCTTGGATATTTACCACGCAATCCACGGCGTCTAATCGTGCTTCACGAAGAAAAGAAACGTTGCTTCTTTTCGATTCGGGCTTTTCCGGGTCACGGGGTGGGGGCCGGATCGAATGAAGTGCTGCAGCGGTGAGTGCGGTGCTGTCTTCGGGTACGCGTGCGCTGCGTGGTATGTGGAACGGTGGTGACTACGCTTCCCAGGAACGGAGTAGGCAATACAATGCGTGGGCGTCTACTGCAGTTCAATGCAAAACTCGGGGCTGCGCCTTTGGGCTGGTGTAGGCCGGCTAAAGGTATAGAAGAGGCGACGTAGGACGCGTTTAGCGAAGACGCGTCGGCGATGCCCGCGGGCCCGGCATTGAATAGTGCCCGCTACGCGAAGACGACGGCGAGCGACTTCGGAAGGTAAAAAAGCGAGGGAGGCCGTGTAACGGAGAAGTACCATCGTGAGCGTGGAGGAAGGTATTGGCGGGGAGGAGAGATGAGGGCAAGGCCACTCGACCTCTTCCTCTCTCTTTCAGCGGTCGTCGTTTCACTCGCTCTGCGCGCGACTCGTTCTTGAATGTCTCATCCTTTGTTTTTTTTTTATTATGTTCAGGTGTCCTAAGGCGCAGTCGTGAAGAGGCAGGTGTGTTTTCATGATGCAGCGAGTTGTTTTTTTACCTTTATGCTGCTCGTTTATGAAGTGCATCACTTCGTCTGTTTCACCAGCACACCGTAAAGAGTCCACAAAAGGCGATCGTACGCATCAACTGGCTAATAGGTGAAGAGCACTGCTACGTAATTCAGTGTCTGAACAATGGCGGGCTGAGAAGAGCTCGATGCTTCGAGCAAGGAAGTCACCACGGAATAGGCCGACGTCCTCCTTCAGTGATCAACTATCTCTAAGAACCAGTAAATGTGCAACAAATGGAACAAACATCACTCAAAAACACTTTGGCAAGACTGTACTAGTAATTATTCGTAGTAGCGTATAAAGCGAGCTATACCATAGTATACGCCGCCATTTCACGCACACACGCAAAATAAAGTCTCTTTGTTGGTATAACTTACACAGTAAGAATACGAGGTAATTGAAGGACTGTCTAAAGTATGAAAAAAAATTATTGGCAGTCTGAATCATTTCTAGAATCATGCACGACAGGGTGTATACAACACAGTAGTGGCAAAAAAAAAAGAAAAAAGGTACGAATACATAACAAAAAAAAACAAGAAGGGCATAGAAGATTTTTTTTTCTTGCTACCATAGTAGGAAATTAAGCGTTCTGTATTTGTAGGAAGGTTTTAAAAACTTTCCTGTAACTTTTATTCTAATTATTTATACAATGGAGCAGGTCCGAAATTCACCTCATTTGCACTATTGGGTTGACTACTAAAGTCTCCTGAGGAGGTACGCTGGAGCGTGATATGCTCATGAGAGCAGCGAAAGTGTTGCCAAGCATTTAAATGCAAAATTACTTATTGCGCAGAAAATTAAAATTACTTTGCAATATTTTTGTTGAAAAGGTGCCAGACTTATCTTCTTCGTCGGAAATCAGTGGCGGAATTCAAATACATGTTCATTCTAACGAAACGTTTTCAACAGCTCCCGCACCTTTCCTACGACACGTGATTGGCCAATGTTCTTTTTTTTCTTCGATGCAATAAAAACGTGAGATTTCTCTAATATAGGTAGGAATAGTTTGTTCATGCTAGTTTTTGCATGAAATGCAACTGTAGCACGGTCGAACAGGGTATCCCACCTGAATTGGGCCAAGATTACAGAAACACAACAAAATGCCAGGGGCTTACAATAATCGCACCAGCTCTATATTATTGGTAGACATGTGTACTTACAGCAAGCATTTATAGATCACTTAACAAGTGTTCTTTCCTTTTTTTTAACTTTATAACTCAAACGCTTGCTTGAATTGCTAACCTGTCAAATTTAAGCTAGTATGCCTTCTCAAATACCTAACTGATGGAATGATTTGTGCTGAAATGGGCTGCATTTTTTTATCAGAAAACATGCAGCTCAACATAAATGCGAGGTCTCTGGATTGGTTATCGTTTAATGTAATTAAAAGTATGCCTGTACTATCAAAGGTTCCGGTAGAGGACGTTGTAACTAGGTCAATTTATGATCTTGTGTTAGCGCAGAATAACAATAGCGCATGGTTCATATAGAGTACAGCTGCTTGCATAGTTTGGTCGGAGAGTCAAGCTGATTCACACACTCACGGCGATGATCTTCTTCATTTTATTTTGTTTCATGGCGTATTTACTATGGCAGGGGTCAATAAAGCGCGGCCCATGATCATCTCGCTTGCGGCCAGTGGCCTGTACATGAGTGTCTTCACCTGATACATTCTTTTTCTTTTCTTAATATGCATGTGCGTCATGCAGCTAGGCAGATATGGCCGGTTTTAATCACCGTTTTCGTAAGGCAGCTCATGTGGTCAACAAAGTTGAAGCGTTACCGTGAAAGAAGAACAGTCATTCAGATTCGGCGTCTTGTCTTAGGTCCTTTTAGAGATCGGTATCCACATGTTGTTGAATCTAATTCTGACCCCAAATCTTCTTCAAAATTGACCCGTATATGACATACAGAAAAGGTATTTTTTATTGCTTATGGTTTGCTAAGATGTGTACACATAAATCACCCCCACCTCTCATTCTTACCTTCTTCGTGACCCAGCTCTTGAGGGGCTAAGTATTGTTACTGCGGTCCATCGCTTGATGTGTTTGATACTCATTGCTTTCATTTCCATGTCATCATTGTGCTTGCACTTTTCTTCTTTAGCAAAAGAATGACAAGTAGAAACTTGAGGCTAATAGCAAGAATAGGTCATGTATGACGAAGAGCAATAAACACGACAGTCAAAGCGCGCGTCATTTCCGCGCTGTTACTGCTAAGCATGTACAGCCCAATTGCCACACAGTTGCACCCAAAACAAGTAAGAAGTGCTTCCTCTTTCATTGCGGTGTTATTTTAGAGTTAATGTCCCGTTTCTTCTGCAGGCCTTTTTTTCTTCTCCCACCTCAGCAAAATACCGTGTCTCTAGGACGCCTCACTTTAGACATATATGGGCTAACATGTAGCTATTGTGGCTATGCCACATAGATGGTCTGGAGGCCATACAGAGGTCGCGATCTGTTTGGTGCATACGTAGATGTTGATGCTCAGACAGATAAGGAAGAAGAGAGCAGTATGGCACACGGCAGTGTGTCTTTCGGGGTATAGTTGCGGCCACATGCAAGCAATAAAATGCAATCGGCCCTAAACGCGTTTATACACCATCATCTGACCACCGGAAGCGTCTCAGCAGGTCCTTATGATCAGCACAAACATGCACGTTAGGCCAGTGCGATTCCCACAATGATTTCCAGATAGCGCATGTGCGTAAACGAGGTTCCGCAAATGCGGTTCGGCTATCCTACTTTTTGATAACGAGTTGGGAAAGGGGGAGGGAATGGGGGTGCGTGGACGTCATACAATGTTGTCCAGGTTTCCGGATTAGACCGTAAGTACACCTCGTTTCCTCTCTCTCCTCGATGGTACAGCCATTCAAAACACAGCCATAGTACGGTGCCCACATCGTCTATTGTTGAACGTAGGTCACCGACCCAGCTCTTAGGAGACGACCATCACATCTTGCACACGCTTCACCGCTTCTTCGCTTCGACACCGTGATTTCCTCTTAAACTACAATTTTGTCCGTTTTTTTTTCTTAGTCTGATTCTTTGCGATGTTGTTAAACAACCATTATTTTCTACCTTAGCTAACAACGCTTCATTTGCCCTTGTTTTGATATATTTTTAAGTGGGATCATTCTCACGGAAAGGGAGCCAAGGCAGCAATATGCGCCACGCGACTTTTTTTTTACCTTTTGTGATTGACTTTATTTTTCTTTGTCTTCCCATTCTCGAAGCTATTTCCGTATTATACATGCGAGACATATACCGCTGGTAATCATGTTTACTTTTAGTAGGCCAAGGCGCCCCATGGTGAGCGGCCGGTGCAGTTGTACATGGAGAGGTAAGCGGGTGAACGAGCCACGCTCATCACTCGTGCGAGATCTCGGGCGAATGAAACTGGTGGTGTTCATGTTGAGATCTCAGCGAGTCGCAGGCATGAATTGAGCAGCTGCGTGCCTATCAGAGCCCACTTGTAGTATTTCACCCAAATATTGTAGCGGGTGTACGGTTACCATAATAGGAAGGTGCAGAATATGCACAGTTCGACGACACTGGTAGAATATACAACCAAACTCCTAGATATTTTACGATTACAGTTGAAAGCATATGCCGTTGAGAACGAGCTGGTGGTCTAAATGACATGGAATCGAACATAGGTTTCACACTTTTGAAAACTGTCTGGACCACCTATGACAACCTTCCTAAAGGAATGTAGGCAAGGAAAATGGCGAAGATTAAGCTATTAAGCATTGATGGTGCAAGCAAACATGTACATATATGTTCTGGCAAACGCGCATGCACCCTTATGGCACTTCTTTCTGTTTCCTGCCGCATTATGACGGCCGTGTCAACCATTCAAACGGAGTACTAACTAGGCACATGTCGCTGCCCTTATTGCTAGTGATGTCCCGCTCCTTCGGCCGCATAGATTTACGAAACCACCCGCCAAGGTGATCTATTGGCTAAGGTACTCGGCTGCTGACTCACAGGTCGCGGGATCGAATCCCGGCTGTGGCAGCTGCATTTCCGATGGAGGCGAAAATGCTGAGGCCAATGTGCTCATATTTGGGTGCACGTTAAAGAACCCCAGGTGGTCTACATTTCCGGAGCCCTCCACTACGACGTCTCTTTTATACATATGGTGGTTTCGGGAAGCGAAATGTCACATATCAATCTGACTTACAAAACTGCTCTTGAAATGATTCGCAATGCATCATCGCTTGTATAGATGCCCATTGCATGAGCCGACAAGGGTACCTGCGCCATTGGTAGGTTTCTTGTGATGAGTGGCCTGGCAGTAAATGTTAAGGACGGACAAGCAAGGTAATAACAAATCACTGTCCAACGTCCCCATCCCCCAATTGAGAAGAAAGCTTTCCTTAAAAGTAAAAGCTTTGCTTTAGAGTAAAAACTGGTGGCGCACACATAGAAGAGCACCGTTGTTTTTTGTTGTGGCGTCGCGCTCGTCCTCCACAGTTGAACAAGGATACTTGTACCAAACTGGTTGTACGAACTTGATAACGGCGTGTTCGTTGGCGTCAGGCCCTGGCTCCTCCTCTTCCAGCTTCACGTCACCACTGAATAGGGCCACGTGGATCTGTGCGCCGGCGCTGCTTATTTATTTATTTATTTATTTATTTATTTATTTATTTATTGTACCCTCAGGGCATACAGCATTATAGAGGCGAGTGGGTTTAGAAGACAAAAAATACAATTGAAACGTGAAAAACAAATCACATTCAGTACATGCGTACAACACTCGAGAACAACGTGTAAATGACAACGCTTACACAATATCTAAAAAAAAAGAAAAAAAGGAAGCACCGCGACAAATCAAACAAGGAATCAAAAAATCAAACAAGGAATAAAAAAATCAAACAAGGAAGCACCGCGACAAAAAAAAAATACCGTAATGACGATCTAACACACAAAGAAAGTACCGAGAAAAAAAAATTACAACATGGAATAACGAATCTGCGATACACAAATGAACGGTAACCGAACAGCAGCAAACAAAACCAGGGAAAAAATAAATGCGTTGAGCACATCAATGCATAAAATTTTCGAGTGCCGCCCGAAAGCATTCCTGATTAGTAATCGTGACTAGTGACGCAGGCAGGTTGTTCCAATCATGGCATGTTTTTGGTAAAAAAGAATGGGAATGGGCTTAGCTTCAGAGCGCGGCCGCACCTTGTGCGCTGGCGCTCTGCGGAACACCTTTGCGCTGCGCTGTGTTCGCGTGCAGGTGGGCGTAGTCTTACTTAGAGTAGACACCAAGAGTGGACGTTGGTTTGAGTGAACTGGCAGTCATCATTTAAGTATGTTATTCTCTATGTGCTCAAGTGGAAGTTAAACACACACGTAGGGCGTGGTGATTATGCACTTGGCAGGATGTGAGGCAGCAACGTTGCTCTATGTGAATTTAGATGGGAAGGCACTCACCTCACTTCTGAAGAAATATCAGTTCGGCTCAAAAAATCACGGTGCGCCTGTCTTTCATCCGTACAAAGACAGCCGCGACAAAGGATATTCGTTCAAACCGAAAATACCTTCTTTGTGTTCGCGTAAATACAAAGCATATTGAAAATAAAATGAAGCTAAAATAAGATACCATTTTAGCCTGGATACTGATAGCAGACGCCTTTACATGTTGCCACCACATTCTTTTTTCTGAAAAAAGCCAGTTCGCAAACGGATATTTAGACGAAGAAATTTCACATACTAACTGCACACATTAAGGAAGCGTGCAGGTCTACGAACGTAGTGAGATTGAAGGTCTATGCCAATTCTGCTTGCTTGGTATGGCAGTAGTATTGATCTCATGATGCGCAGCTCAATTCTTAATCTATAGTAAGATTTCGTGGTATCAGCTTTTCTAAACATTTTCATTGGTTTACCTGTTGTATGAAAACATACATCAAACATCTGTTCATGTTGGCAGACCCATTTCTCGCTTTTTTTTGCTTTCGCACTGACAAGTGTTTTGAATGAAGCCCGAACCTGTTTAAGTTATGTAAAAGATATTTAATAAATGTGCGAGAAACTTGATTATTGTAGTTAGTTGTATAGTGCGAATGAAAGTGAACAGGGAAAGAAAAAAAGGAAGAAAAGACGAGTAATGACTTCTAAAAGAAAAGTTTAGTTTCAGCTACCAGAACTTTCATTGGTAAATTATGGCATTTTCCAAATTTATGTCACGTGTTGAGAATACTTAGCGCTTTTTTTTACGCGTGCGATGATCTAAATTGCGATGGCTGATATCCGAAGATAAAGAGTTCTGTTCGAGGTTATCACTTGTCTGCACTCTCGATTCTTTTTCCCGGTGAATTTATTAGCTGTATGTCCTCGTTGTGTGGCAACGATAAGTTCGAGTTGCTCTCATAACCATTTGGACCATCTGTCTGAAGGCAACCCTGATGGGATGCGAAGCAGCAGCGTTGCGCATGGGTGGCGTGAAGGGTTGAACGGTGCTACCCGGGTGCTGCGGTGAGCGCTGGAGCATTCGCTTAAAGCGATGGCTGGCGTAGGCCTTCTAGGTGACACATACAGACGCGTATCAACGCGTACGTTAGGCGCGCGTCAGGTTTGTTGCACGTGAACCAACGAGTTGGCGGTGTAGCGAGCGGTGGTCGCGGCAGGTGTTGCGGGCGAATGGAGGAGGCGGCAGTTACAGGCGCCGCGGCGAGGATGCGGCAGGCAAGGAAGAAAGTGGTGTCAGTGCGCACAGCAAGGGGAGCATGAAGTCAATGCGCAGCAGCGGCGTGACCTAGTTGACAATTCCCCAAGACCTGCGGCGCGTTCGACCGGAGGGAAAATGTTACACAGGCTAATCAAACAGCTCCTTGGCATTCATATGTGCGTTTCGCAGGCAGCCAGAAAGTTTTCTGTTGAGGTCGAGGGAGGGGCGTGACTTAATAAAAGCTCTGGAAAGCACTTACTTTCAATATTTATTGTCAGCAAAACATCCTGTTTCATTGAAATACGGGGGAAAAGGGGTGTATTCTCCCTGTTTAAGGGCCTGGCGTTTCGGTTGCATTTTTCCAGAAAAGTAAATATTGATTTCGATATTTGTATAATCAAACGAACTTAGTTTACAAGCGAAAAGAAATACGCATTCAATTCTCCCCCCTAGTGACAGTGTGATACAGAATTCACTCTTACAATGGCTAAGCCCACAGAAATGATCAACATAGGTGTGCCTGTACAGATTACTTCAAACGACTGAAAACGTAATCTTTAATTGCAAAAATCAAGCCAAATTTAGTAATTAGTCTGTCCGAAAGCCGTGAGTTTTTTTAAGTTATGTCCGTGAGAGGGACTGCTTTTGACTCGGGAGAGAATGTGCAACGTCACATTATATAACTTAGTTTTTATGGCGATTCAACTGGCAATTAGAAATACGTGCCTCAAAAGACCACATTTATGAGATAACATAACTTGATGAAAATTTCTTGAAATCATAATGAATCACACGGTTAATATATGAAGTCAAAGTGACAAAAATTGCGCTATTGGTGAAATATCAAAAGAACGATTTAAAATATAACCTATTTTCCGAACGATGGTGTTCTTAAACACCTGGACAGACCAAATGTAAAACTATTTCATGTATGCACTTGGTCAGTGGCTTGCAGCCTTCAGTAACGAAAGTCTACAAATGTGCACTCGTAGAATTTTTCTTCTTTGAAAGGTATAACTTATGTATGATTTGCGAACAGGAATTCTTATATTTGATTGAAGGTTTCTCCTAACCGAACCTAAATATTTCATAATTCATGGGAAGGTGGGATGAAAGATATATATTGCGAGGACGAGTTTAGTAAGTCGTACAAGATGCTGAATTGATACTGCTATTGCTTGTTGTTCTTACTATCTAAGTGAATAGTTATATCGTCCAACAATGAAAGAAAGTACCTCATGTATTTTTCTTTAATTCTATCAGTGAGTCCTCTACGAACACAACGTACATGAATTCTAACGTACTCCTAAGTATGCGACGCAAATGCTGCAAAGCAAGCTTTCTAAACGCTGTGGCGTCAAATACTTTGTGACAGAAACTCATTTAGGGAAAGCGACGTCTTCTGAAGCTGCAGGAGACCGTATTTGCGTGATAAACGGGAGTATCATCAGACCTCGTCCCAACCGGGTGTACAAGTCCTGTGGAAACGTCTTCCACGAAACGGGAGGAGTATTCGGTGCGATTCTGGCAATCCTGGAACTCGCAACTTACACACGAGGGCACTGACGTGTCGCTTGCCCCACCGCTGCGCCTATCCTCCTCGTCATTGCAAGCACTCCGCCTCTCGGAACCAGTGATGCTGTCGGCCGTTTTGCTTCAGTTGGCGATCGCTTCGCGATGGCAACTTAATTGGATGGAGTGGCACGCCTCCCCGATGAGAATCCGGCGACTGACGATGGCATTGCGACAGGTTCATATGCTTTCGCTAGCGAAGAACCTCGCGCCTCCCCGCCACGGAGCTTCGACGCGTATCGTTCGCCTCGATCGGTGGACTCACGAACGCACGGAGGCAAGACATCCACGTCAGTGCCGCCGCGGGAGACCACGTCCGGATCCGTTACCGAAAGCACCGCCATTCGGGTTTTTCTTCTTTTTTGATTCTATATTGAGCAATGCCACAGAGGACGGATTGCACCTGCGTCAGTGTCTGTTGTTTATGTCTCGCACGAATCCTACTGCTCGCGAGTGCCGGACGCTGAGTATCTTGCCCGGGCGTCCGTTTCACAACTGCCGCAGAATGATGACGCCCGTCGCGAAGTGTACGCGAATTCCCGAGAAGAGCTTAGTGGATGGCGCTATGTGAAACGCGTGTGCCCTTCTGGGCGCCTGGAGTCCTGACAAGTCTCTCTTGCGGGTCGAAAGGTGAATACCCATCGAAAACTTTATGTTTACGGTGTGAACAGGGGGCTAAGTACGCGAATGGGCCAGAGGGAGGCAGCTTCGATCATTTAGACGTAGTATATATAGGAGTACGAAAGTGGAGGAAGAGAGGCGAAATATAGGTAGGCAGGAAAGTTAACTAGTCTGCGTTGCAATTTCGGAAGAGAGATATTACAGATGAGTGTTGAAACGTGTTTTTCGCCGCACGATTCCTGGCGCAGGCTTCAACCTCGCTGCAGGTGCATGCTCAAGTGCTATATAAGGCGGAGTTAATAAATAGAACTGCAACCAGGGCGTGTGCTTTAATCATAATCAATCTACATATGAGCGAGAGCAACGGTTATTCCAAGCCAGAAATCCGCAACGGCTAAGAAATGATTCCGCCATATATCGTGGGTATTTGAAACTAAATAAGCAAGAATGGCAGACATGCTATGCTGCACTAGTCATCCTTGGCATAGCCGCAGGTAACGTGCAACGTTCCTCTTTTCCGAAATTGCGTATGTGAATATGTGCACGCACACAGGCAAACGCACGCACGTGCCTACGAAAATTTACGGCATATCTACGAAGTGAAAGATGATGAGTGGGTGAAGCTGCGGAATTGTTCGGTGTTACGTCAATCACAGATGACATTGACGGCCCACGCATGTAAATGAGTGCGAAGGCGGTGTAGTTATGTACAATGTTTGTTGCGTTGAGCTTTGAATTCAGTTTTGCCTTCATTATTGCTGCATTGTGGAATTGTATTTAGCATGAAGTTGACAAAGACTGGGTTTGGACACGTTCCCCTGGTGGTTGTTGGTTGTTTCCACTCATACGAAATGTCTCTCAGATCATATAGAGACGCCATGTACTGCACAGTCCAGTCGTTGTCCATGGTAATCTTCATCTCCATCACAATAATGGCGTATCGTGGGTACCTTGGATGTGCTCTGCCGCGATGGCAGAAAGAGATTATGTGGTCTGGAATGAGCTTGTTCTTCATTCTCACCAGCATTATCATCATTGTCAGCGGCGTCTCCAGCGCACAACACCAACGCCGATGTTAACGAACAGCCCTCAACCATTAGAAGCTTCGCCACTAAAACTTGTTGGATATCTACTCGAAAAAAAAAATGTTCGGCTACGCTCTCGCGAGTCACACATCCGCACGCACACACACGCACGCAAACACACACATGCAGGAAAACCACTCACACTTACATGGACACACATGCATGTGCACGCTGTTGTATTATATTTTGCAGAAATAAACCCTGTCTAACCGTTATTGTATACGCTTACAATATAATTCCTTCTTGCGCTGATGCTTTTACCACGGCCAATGTGACTTCACACGTCTAGTAAAGACGTTTACGTTGAATAGGAAACAGGATTTAACCCTGTAGTAGGTATATATGTAGCCTCCGCACAAAGAATGCCCAAGTTGACCGCGGCACCTTTTAAACTAGTCCCTCTCATCCTGCGGCATTAACACTTCACTACAATAGCTACGGTAGACTGAAGAAACGAGTTTAAATCAGATGTAAGTAAACAGGAGCTTCGCTGTAAGAAGTAAGTTAAAGTATCTCTATATGACACCATGGTCTTTTACTTTGTGTAAATAATTCGCCGGCAGAGATTCGTTTCAGATTGTTTGTTGTTGAGAGATGAGACTGCCGAAAGATTATTAATATTAGAAAACGTGAGATTACAACAAACATCTGCTATATTACGTAAAGAATCAACCCGGGGAATGCTTAGGACCTTATTGCCCACTGCCTGGCCTCTGGTACCCGTAGGAAAAGAAGAAAGCGGTGCTGGCCCTAAGTCAATGAAGGCTGGGTAGCCGCAGCAGTATAGCAGGTGGGCACGTTTCATTCTTTCTTGTTTACCAGACCTGTACAAAATGCTTAACCTGTGATTAAGCATGTGTCGGTTCATGACGATAACAATTTTTCATCAACGACACAAGATGAACCTTCAACATGCATGGCTGCTCTGCTATAGAAACTATAGGCAAGCACATTTGTGGTAGAAAAGAAATAAGTGGTATACACACGTAAAATGCAACATTTCTTATGGGAAAGTATCTATACAATAGCCGAGTAAACTGCTTATCAGCTTAAGCAACCAAACTTATAGGGAAACGTAATACAACTGCATTTCTTGTGATTTAGGTGCCAAAACCCCGATATGGTGATGAGATATGGACGTAGTTGAGGGCATCAGAAATTCCAACCAACTCGTGTTTTAACATATATTGACGGTGCATAGTGCATGATCGTCTAGAATTTTGCATCGATGGAAATGCAAGCGCAATGACCTGCACTCTAAGAAAAAAAAACACCACATGTCAATCAATTCAGGAAAGGAGTACTTTGAATTTTTTTTCTAGAAAGGGGGGGGACAGTTTGGCTTGCCACGTATAGTATGACTCACTTAGAAAAGGCTCTCGTGGTCATGACACTTCCTTGTGAGAGTCATGTGACTCACAAGAGAATTACCTTGCCTCTTGCTAGTGTCCAAATAAATGGCAGGGAAGGGAAGATGGACGCTTGCTAGTTATTTTCTAGCCTTGTCGAAACGTTGCTTGTCGAAACGCGGCCCGACACAGCCCCTGTCTACGGATTTTGTCTTGCGAGGGTGTCGCATACGTGGGAGATACGGTACCTTAAAATAGTTACACATGCTCCGTTGTTTCTTAGAGTGCGGATCAAAGCCGCTCCTCTGTGGTGAGCAGCCAAGCACCCTAACAACGGGCCGGACCAGTGTGGACCGGGAGGCAAGATTAGGCGCAGCATAGAAGACAAGGAAAATAATGGGGAGAGAGAAAAAAATCGGGAAACAAAGACTTTGCGAGAGAAACTAGATTGAAAAAAACAAATGAAGAAATTGAGAGAAAATAGAGAGAAGGCATAATGATACACAGTACAGTAAAGTATTATTGTACGGAATAGAGTAACTAGTGGGTGGCAAAGGGAAGCCAAAGTGAGGGGTAGAGCTATGCGACCAGCTCCACTGCATGCTTTCTTCATTCTTCGCACCGCAAGTGCAGTAGCCGCAGTTTTTTCTGGCTTTTATTTTTCTCCTGTAAGCTTCAAGCGACGTCGTCTGCATCAACGACACTTTTCATCACGTAATAAAAGTCGATTAACTAAGTTGATTACGTCTTCTCAGTCGTCCGCAACAATTCATTAAAAAAATTACTTACTTAAACCTGTCTTCACGACAGTATATCTTTAACGCAACATGAAAGTCCACAGTTGACACTGTGATTGCTGGGAACTGTTCAATTGTTCACTATATTGAAAGTTACGAAATATTGATATGTGGCGTTTAACGTCCCAAAACAACCATATGATTATGAAAGTTTCCATATAGGAGGGCTCCGGAAATTTCGACCACCTGGAGTTCTTTAACGTGCACCGAAATCTGAGCACATGAGCCTACAACATTTCCGCCCCAATCGGAAGTGCAGTCGCCGTAGCCGGGATTTGATCCCTCGACGTGCGGGTCGGCAGCCGATTACCTTAGCCACTGGACCACCACGGCGGAGCATGATATGATGAAATACTCTAAGAACTATTGCCCAGCATCTAGTTCATGGTTCTTTATGCCTTACAATCGCTACCACGCCCATTAATCCAAGCGCATCTCTTTGCAGTTCGCTTCAAAAATGCAATGAGGACGGCGCGTAAACCTGGCAACGATTAGGATAGACCTTGTACCAGTTAGAAAGACACTTAATCACTGCACGCCCGGCTTCTGAGTACACTGCTTTACAGGCTCCAAGAGAACGGCTTGATAGAAACGTCTTTTTATTTTTTATTTTTTTTTGCTGCCGGTACGCAACTTCTAGTGTGGTCATGCTTTCAATGACGCTGTCATTTGGAAAAGCCTCGTAGATCGTGAGGCAGCGTTTGAAAAGAAGAAGCGATATATAAATGCATATAGAAATAAATAGGCAACCTACGTGACATATGTATACTTAGGCACAAAGACGTCTTGTAAGAAAGCGCGTAGCTCTTGGCTAATCAGCTGTTTCCGAGCACTCTTCTCGCGGGACGAGCGGGACGTCTTTCTTCAGGCAATTAACGTTGGAGGCTCGTTAGCGTCCAAGTGATTAATGCACCTGCACGGTAGCTATCCCCCAAGCTTTCTCCGACAATAGCTTCTCTCCCAAGATCCGTATTTAAGGTGGCCAACTATGGTCAGGTTTCTGGCAACACAGTTCTGCAAAGGCTGTGTGTACTTTTCCGCTCGCAGCATTGAAATCTCTGAAAAGGCCATACAAAGATGCAAATGGCTCTTTTCGAAAAATAAAGAAAAAAGAAGCGAAAGCATACGTGTCTCAGATGCGCGCAATTACAAATCACGTCTCCCGTTTTCACGGACACGACGTCGAGCTCAAAGAAGCCATTCACGCTCAGGCAACGTCAGTGGAGAGACGACGTCAAATCGGCCGTTGGCTCGTCCTTAGAGCCATTAATTAGGCTTGACTCATTCCAAGCACGTGAGGGGTAAGGTCGCATTGAAGTAAATGACGGCCGCCGCCACGCGGTGAAACGGTACACGTCACTGTTGCCGACGCAAGGCGGATGCGACAAGAAAGCGTTGCGTTTGTTTCGTTCGTACAGCCCCCCCCCCCCCCCCTCAACGTGTTTGCCGGTAAAAGACGCATTAAGATTACTTCGGTAACTTAGCGGTCAAACTGTGGCACTGATATTCTCAAGGACGCATGGCATATTCTCTGCCACGGCCAAGACAGAGTTGCCCGATGCTACCATCCTAACAAGCAAATAATAATCACAAAAGCTGCCCAAGAAATCGACGCAAGTTTCGAGAAGCACCTCAAAAGAAGCGAAACTTTCAACAAATTTTCCCATCCTTGAAAATATCCTTATTATAACGAAAAACTGTCACTAGACTACAATGAAGAGCTTAGAAAATTGCTTCAGTTTTTTTAACACTGAAACTATTAAGACTATGAAGGATAG